CTTTCATTGAAATATTTGTCATTAAAGTATGTCATAGCAGCCTCTTTTGCGCTATTTCTTCCAATTTGATTAGCATGTACCTTAAAATATATCGGTCCTTTAACAACTTTAACAAAATGAAGCGGACATTTCCTCTATAAAGTGATACCTTTCAGCCTTACTTGCACAATTATTGCCCTTTTCAACATTCCTACGTTACAGGATACATACGATGATTATAATGTAATGCTGAATCTTATGTTCACGTCTTTCTCAACCTAAGATAGTAACTATTGTATGGAGAATATATTAATAAGAGTGTCATGTGCACGTCTTTCCCTACTTAAGACAGTTACTCTTTTATAGAGAATAATAGAATATTAAGTGTTATCTGAGGACCACTTATTTTCCAGATCTTTATACATCACAGTAGCAGTGTCAGGTGCCTGCCGTCAAAAGTGTCCCCGTACTTCACTGCAGTGCTGTTATAGTTTTCTGGTTCTTCGAGATTATTGATCCCAGCACTTTTAAGTGTTGAGAATTGAGTACCGCTCAAGCCGGTGCTATGGGGCGTGAATGATGTTGCACTCTTTCATTATCCCTCATGTACAGACTCAATAAAACCGAGTTTGCAATTTTTATGTAATTTTGCTGTTTATAATGCTTCCGAGTGATCACTTATTTTCCATATAATTATGATGGCCATGGATCGCTCACATGAGAGACTTTCCTAGAAAAGGTAAAGTTAGTAATAGGGTAACTTACGGTTTGTCATTTTGTACACAAGCTGCAATTTTGATTTTTTTTAAATACTTGTTAACGTCTGCTACAAATGTCTCATGCTATTGCCATGGTAATTTCACACAAAAATACTTTACTATTAAGTATGACTATATATAGAAAATGACTACCGGGGCAGAAACCAATCTAGGCCAAAGGAACATATTTTACATTACTTTTGTAGAGGAACAAAAGCTGATACTGCATGTAAAATATCAAAACTATGGTAATTGTTCTTTTAAAGAAGAAGCTTTTAAGACATTCTTACAATACAAGTAAATGACCCTCAGGGCGGTGCCATTTTTGATCCCATGGGCATTAGTTATATAACTTTTGTACAAATATATTAGGCACTGCTACATGCCAAATATCTATGTTCCAGGCAATGTAGTTTCACAAAAGAAGACTTTAATGTATTTCATAATTCAAGACTATTTAAACTGAGTTACTCCAGGGCGGGGCAAATTTCAACCGAAGGAGCATGATTTATATAACTTTTGTAGAGGCCACAAGGTGATGTTTCACGCAACATATCTAAACTATAGACATTTTTAAGACATTTTTACCTTACAAGTCTATGTAAATTAAGTGAGCCTTGGTGTGGGACCAGCTTTGACCCACCTCCAGGGCTATGACTTCTATAACCTTTCTAGATGTTCACTAGGCAGTGGTACATGACGAATACATAATCCCTTGGCATTGTAGTTTTAAAAATAAAACTTTCATTTATTTTCTGAAACAAGTCTGTATAATCTAAGTGGGCAAGGGGGCGGGGTCAATTTTATTACTTTTGTAGAGTTCCACAAGGAGATGCTACATGCACAAGATCTTGAGCTCTTGGTATTGTAGTTTCAAGTGTATACTTTTGTAGAGAAGAAATACCTAGGTATCATTCCTATGAATTTTTGTCAAAATTTATTAAGTGGTTTAAGAGGAGCTATTGTGTTAAGAAATTGTAAATAACGACGAATTACTTACAACGTCGAGCATTTGTAAAACAAGTCCGTTAAATAATAACAAAATATTTACGTTGTCTCTTATAGACTAACAAGACTGCTTTTAACAATAGAGCCGGTATGCAATTGAAATAAGGCCTCAGCTTTAAGGTCAAATTATTGTTTGCTATACTATTGAATGTATTGTATTATATCTTTGGCAAAACTGAACTTAACGTTCACGCATTTTATTAATAAGTAGTTGAACATAATAACACGCTGGACTAATTGTCATCAAGTCTGGATGGATATGAAAACTTACAATATTTTTTAAAAGGACTATTTTACTATTTGAAATTTGTAACAACCTTGTAATTAACTGCTGTATTTGGTTTATACTTGGATTAAACTTTCAAATTCAGTATTCAAATATCACTTTGAGCTTTGAATGACAAATAAATGCATCTATCAATGTTTTTGCATTGGATAAAAAGGAAAAGCCATTTAGGGGACCCTGCTAATGAATGCTCTTGTTTTAGGAATACTCGCTTTTTCGATATTTATCACATTCAGTTAGAGTGAAATTATTATAATCTTTTCGTTGTCAAGTTGAGCTGAATTGTTTATATATTTTTTTAAAAATGACTATAATAATGGGTATTGACCAGTAATTGATAATGAAAGATGTTATGGATAAAATACAACAACTGCCTGAAATATAAAAAAAAACTGACCCAATCTTTTTGATAATACATAAGGATATTTATAGCATTTTCTGTGAGTCACGTCTTTGATTATACACATAACCTAGACTGTGAAATTGGAAACAATTATGGCAAAATCTAAAGTTATTTTGACTTTGACTTGTACACTTGGATGGGAATGATATCACTTTAACTCTTATTGCATTATAAAATTTTAAGTTAATACGCCATTTTCTTTGTGCATGTATTGCGCTTCTGTTATCTGTAAGATTAAAGCATAACTAGCTCGTTGATTCACTTAACTTTGCCAATTAAAAGCCACTTTTACGTTACCGTGTTGGAGCTCGAGTACTTCAATCTGATTGCTCACTACACATTCCAGTAAGTTTAAGTACGTATGTATCATATTTTTATATAACAATAATAACAACTGTTTCCATAGGAAAGAGATTCTCTGATTTGAAAATCTTACATAGTAATAATCGTCATGGTGAATATTTTGTAATGATAACTCGAAATTTCTTAATGTTTTTATGTTTGTGAACTCGCAATTCTTCTCCTTACTTTAACATATTACTGATTCACAAGAAGACAAAAATGAAATATACTAACTGTAAAATTCCATAAGCAAATAAAAATGGTAAAAATCTTAACAATTATATTTGAATAAAAGTAAAGTTAAGGATGATAAGCATGTATATTCATTAAACCACCACAGTTTATGAAATTGAATTGTCTTCAAGGTAACACAGATTATGACTTCTATTAACTCGTTTATGTTAACGCAGATTATGAAAATTAACTTTACTTTTTTAACTTTAACAGTTTATTAAGTTCCAAATTGCAGCCCTTTCAATTAATCCTTTGAAGTTAATACAGTTTATTAAATTGCAATACATTCATCTCTTGAAGGAAATCTAGCTACGGAAGCGTATCAGGGCCTACAGTCGGTGAGATGTTTTGCGCTCAGTCAACTTGTGATCTAGCGGATATACATGCAATACTTTTATACAGCTGATATAACTTATACAATTAAAATACAAATGAATTTCCTACATCTTATATAGAAAATTAATTTTCAATCTTACAGAAGTCAGTTATTTCTTTTAACTTCTTAAAAATAATATGTGTTTGACATTTTATAATTATGTGTTATTATTTCACACTACGTATGATATAATAGATTTTTAATGCTGAAATTTTAGTTATACTTTTCTTAACCAAAGTTTTTCTAAAAATGAACAGTTTAACAGAGATCTTAATATTCAAAGTATTTGTTTCATGGACAATTAATAATTAACTTTGTTCAAATATCGACAACATCACACAAATATAGTGTCTTATTTGAGAATACCAGTTTCTTTTTATTTAAAGCAATATATAGAATGTAGTCATTTTAGTTGTTTGACTTCTTGTGAGTTTTAAGAAAAAATAGCAAGGAAGGAAAAACATTAATTTAAAGAAGAAAATGTAAGTTACCAGGTGCATATCATAAAATATATGAGTTATTTCACGTTTTTGTCGTACAAAAAATAACTGTTATTATGTTTTGAGTTAAGATAATGTGAAATGTCATAAGATGTTGATCAGTAAATCAACTTAACAACGACCTTAGTACTTTAGTACTCCTACTAATTAATGGAGATATTTGCGTGTTGTCTGATTTATAACCAGTCACAATATACCATTATTATTATTAATACATATCTTTATGTGATTATATTGTATATATGTATTTATTCATTTTAACAAAACGGTGCACATTTGTATAAGTCTAAAAAAAATAGAAGTTCTGTTCTGTTCTGTTTATCAAAACTTTTGTACAGTAACGATCACTCTGAATCGATAACTGGGGTGATCGAAATTGACAAATAATCATTTCTCTACATCTTTTTCTCTCAAATGTTTGCCAATAATAGAAATGCCTATGACTGATTGAAAATGACCCAGTCTGTGAAGAGCACTTCGTGAAAATAATTGACATGTTAAAGTATTAGAATATTAGTACATAGTCCTTATATATAGTATATGCATCAACGATATACACAGTAGTTGATATTGCATGAAAATGTAGTTGTGAATTACAACAAAACTGATTCGAAGTCATGATTTGAACGAAGACCTTTTTATTTCTATATGCAACTATCTTTTTTCCAGATACTTTTTTCTTGGAATCGGAACACGCATCTATAGCAAAATAAGGTCGGATTTTCTGTGAAGCTTATACGAGACAAAATAAGGTCGGATTTTCTGTGAAGCTTATACGAGTCAAAATAAGGTCGGATTTTCTGTGAAGCTTATACGAGACAAAATAAGGTCGGATTTTCTGTGAAGCTTATCCGAGACAAAATAAGGTCGGATTTTCTGTGAAGCTTATCCGAGACAAAATAAGGTCGGATTTTCTGTGAAGCTTATCCGAGACAAAATAAGGTCGGATTTTCTGTGAAGCTTATACGAGTCATTTTAATTACAAAGATATGAGCACTCAATTATACCATGCATGTCTCTATATTTTCCTATAAACCAAGTATGTATGTCGATTCTAAAACACGAGTCATGCAAAAACATTACGCTATTTAAGTATGTAAAAAGTAAAGCTTACTGTTAGGGAGAGGTCGTGGTACTTTGTTCAATCCCATACAAACAACATCTCGTCCTTGTAAATTTTTGGCTTCCTCTTTCCATACCGGCGACTCTGTTCCTAAAATGATGAATTTATTAAAAAATATATACAATGTATACATAAAGAAAAAAGAATACATTTACAGAGTATGAAGATGAAGAAAATATTATGTAGTGAAGAAAAAAATGGGGCATTATTTAATATGTTGAATAACAAACTAACTCTTTAAATTGTCTTGAACCGTTATGTTATTCTGTTTATTCGTTCATTAGAACAAACTATGGAAATGATAACAGAATAATAGGCTGTTTAATCAATATGTTTTCAAAACATCATTAACAAGTAATTTATTGCTCTGATATGTTAATCTAATATTTTTACAATATGATGTTAAAAACTGTATTTAAAATAACAAAGTTAATAGTGTACAATAGCATAAACAAACGAAAAACATAGAATTAATGTTAAATTATTATCAAATGTTTTATTTGCATTTTTATATTTTAAACATACAATGTATCTTTCAATAAATCACCTTTGAAAGTTGTCTGAACACCATGCATCCGTCTCATAGACAACCATCTTTCTGCCATGTCCCTATAACTTAGATGGGCGAGCGCGATACATCGACATTGTACTGGACAGTCGTTTTGGACTTTGTCCAATTCGCCTCTTAGACCCTCACTTCCACTATGACGATAATAGCGCGCCGCATTTACATCGGCGTTTAAGAAAAACACAAACCATAAAACAAAAATGTAAATATCCAATTTCATGTTATTTCTTTGTGTAACTAGCAACATTATATGATTCTTTTAATATCACAAAAGCTGCATTGTAGCTTCCCGGCGTGAGTTAATGAAACAACATATTAAAACTGTTTTCCCTAAACGTATATATAAATTCCGGATCTAAGAAACGCAAGGTATCCGAAGTTAATCTCACATATAACGATGTTTTAATTATCAACTTGTTACACATGAAACTCTCTATCAGACATTCGCACAGGCAAAAAGGCAGTCAGTCCCAGTTGCAGCTGCGAAAACAGATTTTTGGATGAATCTTAACATTTTTTCTCACCAGTGGTTAAATACCTCCGGCTGTTGTGCTCAGTGAAGCGTTACAATCCCCTGTCAGCTTCAGTAACTTTAAACACTACATCACCGCCTCAAAGTATTACTTTGTCATCGATATAATTATATTTCAACGTTAGATGTTGTAATTTCTTTATAATGTGCGAATATCGCTTTATATTACTTTGATAATTTGCCTATATTTATTGTGGCTGAATTATATCTTTCGCACGTCGTAATTAGAACAAGGCGAAAACAAACCACCATCTCTCTGTGCGACAATCAAGAAAACGACGTTGAGTCTGAAAAGTTTGTTCAAAGTCACATGTCAACGTCAAAACGACCAACTACATGTCAAAGAAACAGATATCTTATTAATAATTATCTACTATTTACCTAATTTACATAATCTAGTATTGGCATTTGTTACCACTTTTTTTCTTAGTTTTAGTTAAAACAAAAATAATATAGAAAGAAAGCAGCGAAAGAAGTTGTAATTATTATGTAAAATCCATATAAACGCATGTAAAACGATTAGCAAGAAGCGAGCACAAGAAATTACAAAAGAAAAACACGTTTGTTACATGGCTCATCGCAGTGTAATTGCTGAAGTTTGTAATATTTAACGGATTTTCCAGAAAACTGTGGAGAGTACATCAATTACAGGTAATTTACTAATTGCTGTAAACATTTATTGAGCTCTTAAGAATGTTAGTATACACTGGCGCCAAAAGATTTATGTGCTTATGTTTTCCCACATAACATCCTTTTTAAATGTTACGTAATCAAAACAATATCAAAAGTGTATGTGTAGAATATTTTAATAAAAAAAGCCATGACCTTCTTGCTATCTTGCTTTCCATAAAATACGGTAACTTTCGTTTTCAAAGTATTAATATTAATGTTTGCATGAAATATAGCGCAGGAAATTTCATTTATCTTATAACCATTTGTTCTTCAGTTAGAAATTATTAATACAAAAACACAAGACCTGTCGTTGGAGACAATATTTTATGCCCCACACACCTTTGCCCAGTAAAGAAACTTTACATTTGACTTCCACAAATGTATTATGACTGGAGGGTAACAAAAGTAAAGAAATATGAAAACAAGAAAGCCACGATGGATCGCTCACCTAAAATACATTGCTAGAAAATGTCACAACTCTTCAATGCAAAGATTAGTAATAAGGCCACATTTCGTTGTCATTTTTTAAACAAGCTGCATAATTTGTAAATCATTTGCAGATGTCCGCTAGAAAACAGTTTATGCCGAATTTCAAAGCTCTGAGCATTTTATTTTCACAAATTGTTTTACTTAGTCAAATTAAATTAAATGAACCTAAGACTTGGACCTTTGCTGACCCCAGGGGATTTTAATGTCACATGCAAATAAATCTTACATCTGGACATTAAAGTTTCATACAAGAAAACTTAAATCTGTTTTTCTTAAGAAGAAACAAGTATTATCCGGTTGGGGCAATTTTTGAACATAAACTTTTTCTTAGTCCATTTGGCAATGCTAAAAGTCAAATATCTAAGATATTGGCATTCCAGTTTCACAAAAGAAGACTCATGTACAGACTCAACCAGACCGAAATGCAATTTTCATGTTATTTTGTTGTGATTAATGCTTTCAAGAGATCACACTCTTTATAGATTTTTAGATGTGTTTTCCTATATAAACAAAGGTACCCAAGTACCTAAGGGGCACAGGCAATTTTAACCTCAGAGGCATGATTCATGTATTCACAAGGTATCTAAGGTCTGGGCACTGCAGTTTCCGAGCAGACGTTTCTATGACTTTTGTACTATACAAGTCTATGTAAAATAAGTGACCTCCAGAGTGGGGGCGATGCTACATGACAATTATCTGAGCTCTAAGCATTGTATTTTTAAGAAGAAGTTTTTACGACATGTTTGCTTTACAGTTTATTTAAACTTAGGGACCCCAAGGGCGGGGCCATTTCTGACCTAATGGGCATGACTTGTATCACTTCAGTAGAGGTTCACTTGACAATCCCGTAAGTATTTAAGCTTTTCGAATTGTAGTTTTGGAGAAGAAATTTAAGCCTATAAAAATTAAGTGACTCGCGTGACGGGACCAATTGTTACTCCTGAGCATTATTTATGTATCTTTTGTACAGGACTGCATGTCAACTGTCTAAGCTTTGGGCATTGTAGTTTCCGGAAAGAAATTTGATTAGACATTTTACTATATAAGTCATTGTAAACTAATTGGGCCATTTTTGACAAAAAGGGCCATGATTTATTATACATTTGTAGAGGTACATTAGGCAACGCTTCATGCCATATATCTAGAGGTTCATTAGGCAACGCTTCATGCCATATATCTAGAGGTTCATTAGGCAACGCTTCATGCCATATATCTATGCTTTTTAGCATTGAGTTTCACAAACGAAGATTTAAATGTATTTTTTATAAAGTCTTGTAAAGTCTATGTAAACTAAGTGACCCCCAGGGTTAGGCCATTCTGACCCCAGGGGTATGACTTATATAACTTTGTAGAGGACCACAAAATAAAGCTACATGCCAAATATGTGGGGGGAGATTTCATTTCCAAAGTCTATTTTAAATACTCTGTGACTTGATTTTTCCATTAATCTAATCTTAGAAGTCAGATTTTGTTAAAGTCTTCATACTTTTACAAAGGCTGTTTTCCTTTTTCGTATTTTTCTTGTTGCGTTATTGTTTAAATATTGCTTTGACATTTTGCCAAATTGTGTAGTATTATGGTTCCTCTTGGCTTAACAGCACATATATCCTTAAATCTGACTTTTAAGCCCAAAGTTTGGCTATTTTGCATTAATTTTGAGCTGAAACTGCCAATTGCACAATTGTTACAGTTGTTTTTTCTAAGGTCTATCACCTCCGAAGCCAAAGTTTACTTTAAGTGGAAGGGAAGGTGTTACATTTCGGTAGTCGGAAACTAACTACTTAAATATGGGAGGTAATTTATTGAGCTTGTGCACAATAATTCCAAATGTTCAAATAAGGCATTTTCTCTTTACACATTAGAGATACCATGACTGTGTAACAACCATGCAAAATATGCTTGAACATTTTCAATTTTGTCGCGCTGGGCTTTATCTACTCAAGAGATTCTGTTGTTCTCTACTATTTTTGCCTATCCAAGAGACCTTTTCTATAGAATAATTCTACATTATTCCATTATGATAAACATTTCGATGATATAGAGACTAATGAAATATGTCTTACACATTGTGAATGTGTAGATATGGTTTACGAAATGGAATACAACCAATTTTTATTACTATTTTCCGCTACATAATAATAGACCATTCAGGAGGGATTTATCAGTTTTTTCGCTTTAAATCGCGGCTTCGTTGTAGCATGTTGTAGCTACTGTGGGACAAAGACAAAAAAAAATCATTAACAGTCCAAAACGCTTACTCCAGGGCCATATCTCAGCTAATTACTCTGACAAAAACATAGACTTGGTAATTCCTCTAAAGTTTGGATGAAAATGCACCACTTGTTTAAGGAGTAGCCCGGACAAGTTTTGTGACGGACAGACAGACAAACAGAAGACAACAAACAAGTGTTTCTTATAAGTTGTGGCTACTTTGTGGCATGTATCAGCTATTGTGTAGAAGGCAACACAAAAATCATTAACAGGGAAAAGGGCAAAAACCCATCCAACAATTATATTCAGCCGAAAAACCCGTGTTATGTATATATGCGCAAGTACTTGATTCAAATTGCATAACTGATACGTGTATAATAATAGTCCGTACAAACAGTCAAAGCAAAAATCATTAAAGGGCCATAACTCATTGATCTGAAAAATGTCGACAATATGCACAGCTAGATTTGGTATTGATCACTCCTGTAATGTTTGGACCCAATTACACTGCTAGTATTTGAGGAGTAGTCAGGATACGTTTTGTGACGGACCGACAGACAGACGACGGAGAAGTGATTCCTATATGTTGCCGCTACTCTGCATGTTAAAGGCATGTTAACATAACATAAGGTGGTGACAAACAAGTTTTTACGCACGAGTAAAATGGCTGCGGAGGCATGATCAGCTGTGCAATGCATACCTTAGTTTAGAACCGGATAAAATGCTGACGAATGTTTGATTAGTTATTTAGTTATTGAAATTAAAGAGGAAGCGTAACAACACGAACATTCCATTACGTCCATACTAGTAGTACTCGTTTTATACTGTGACAGGACGGGTACGCTACCCGTACGCTTCAGTCAATGTCGTGTTGTGCCAGGAATCTGTCTTATTTATAAATAGAGACAGTGTTGGACATAATGGTATATCATAATGCCTTGAACATTAATTAATTATATCCCGATTAAACGATATATAAACTTTTAATAAGCAAATGACCGACGATAAAACATAAAATTTGAGCATAAACGTATAGTGCATAAGACATTAAAGGCATCACACCCGTTACCAAAATAAAACTGCACACATGTGACCACGCTTTATTTTATCAAAGGTGGCTATTAAAGTTTTTGAACTAGAAGAGTTATTATTTGCTAGTGGTTCCTTTGATTCATGATTCATGTACAACTTCAAGGTTGAGAGAATGGGCCTAGGAGTATGTAAACAATGTTTTTGGAGTTATTTGTCGACTATGCACCTGTACCCCTCGATGTTGTGGGAATTTTGGCACCACCATCATATTACTGTCATCGCATTTTCTGAAGGTTCACTACAGCTGTCTCGAGGTTTTGCAGAAAGGCATTCGTGAGAGCCTCGCCAGTTAGCACAAGTAATCCTTACATACCCGCGAACATGCACTGTCATAGTACCTTAAAACGACAAATGTAAACACAACAATATAATTCTTAGGTATTTTAACTATATATGTTAAAACTGCGGATCCAAAAACAGAATTAGTAATGGTTATTTTATGCTCACTAGTAAAATATAATGTACTTGGTTTTAGTCTTCAATAAGATCCATATCACTCTCATATTTGCATTGACTGATACAGCTTTAAAAATTTTGGCGTGCGTATTAATTTATATGATTTCATTTTACATTGTGCTGATCAAATAATTTATCACATACGTCAGCTTACAACGTTAGTCAATGGGGAAAAAAATATAATTTTAACATGTTGACCATATTACTGACTTTTTGAAAGAAAAATGAAAAACATGCCTAGAGATATTGCCGTCTTTAATTTAAATGATTTTACTATTATATTTAATAAAAAAAGGGAATATTCAAATTTGCTGGGACAGGTTATAGTACCCGTGCGATTTAGCGACTCCGTAAAAATGGTATTGCATGGTCGTGCATATATTTTGACGTGACGTAATTTACGTTATTATAGCATAAAATCGGCTATTTTCCCCTATTTTGCCCATGTTATAACGGGACCAAAACCATGTGTTAACATAGTCACGCGCTCTTGTTATAGCCCGGTTTCACCTATGCGCAATACATACAGGGCCCAGTAAACAAACAAACAAACAAAAATGACGATTTGGCCTGTTTGCCAAAGAGTCATGCGCTCTTGTTATATTGAAATTATGGATTCGAGGGCCTCAATCGCATTAAATACGGCGAGCAGCATTCAAGTAAGGTAG